ACGGTTCGCAAGGACAGATCCAGGAAGCGGGGCGGGCTCGGCCGGGGCACAGGGCGAAGCAATTGGCAACAGCGGCGCATGGGCCGACGCAGCAAGTGCACGTGCAAGATGCAAAATGCCCCCCATTAAGATGCGAGCGACCCAGGAGCGGGGACGCAGGCATCAGACTGAACTCGACGGAGGAGAAGTCGCACTGCGGCGCCAGCTCGAACCATACTGACCAGCGCGCACTGGCGTGAGGCACGCTGCGCTGCGGCAGCACGGGGGGTCCGTGAGGCCGCTCCGTCAAACGCGACGAGGAGGCGAGAGAGCAAGGAAGGGCGGCGGGCGCGAGTGCACGCGCGGGCAGAAGAGGGGGAACCGAGGAACGCCTCACTCACTTGGACTCCTGGGCGCGGTCGGGCAAAAGTGGCCAACTTATGCACGGAGACGTCGACCCAGTCATGGAGTCCGTAACCTGCGACTGACTGGCCCAGTAGGTTGGCGGGGATGCAGCAGCAGGCATGGCCGAGCACCACGGACCACCCTGCGGGAGGGCTGGAACACTGCCAAAGAATGAACCACATGTGCAGCATCAGGAGCTCGACGGTGGCCCCCGCCGAGAGAGGCGGACCCAGTCATCGTCGAACAACGCGGGCAGCTTATCCATCACGATGGACGGGGGAACGAAGCGGCGAGCGTCGGCCAGGGAAGCAGGGGCAGACAGATGGGACATCGTTTCTCAGTCTCCCAAAAAACTCTGTTCCCGGTAGAAGCAAACGGTTCCCGGTGGAAGCAATCGCGCACTGTTTCGGCGCCATGCGCGGTGATGATGTCCAAGTCGGGGTTGTGAGCCACGATCGTCGACGCGCGGGTTTCTCGATTCATCGCGCGTCGATCCCGGAGCTCGTGCTAGAACTCCTCCACCAAGAAGACCCAAGAAGTAACCCATTCTGCCTCGGCCAATCCCCCAGATATGGCATTGGCTTCCACCGCGACAATAAAACTTCCAGCGCGGTTAATCTTGCGAGAGCGCCGCGCGCCAATGCAAACGTCCGCCTCTTTGCCGGCAAGTAGGCCCTGACCTGCGGCCCAGATCGCGTCGCCTGCCTGTCAGCCCCCCTGTTTCAGTGCATCGCCCATCTGCCTCGCGGGTCGAGGGCTGACCGCCGAACGGCAGCATTCAATGCGCGAGCCAGGGGACCTGCAGCGCAAAATGCGCGCGACGGGACGCGCCTGCAGCTCGCGAGTTGACCGCCAATGGCACCTTCCCCAAAAAAGCCATGAAAGTCGGAGTTGCGGGGGGCGGCGGGCCCCCCGGCATGGCCGGGCGGGCTGCCGGCGAAAAATGCGCGCCAGCGCGGCGATATTAATCTGTGTTGCTCGCCGAAAGCTGGTGTTTGACCAGGCCTCGCACTTTCGACTCTGGCGCGGGGGTCATTTTGATTAAGGTTTCCACGCGCAAGATCGAAAACCGGAACGCTGGCCCAAAACTGCAATTCATCGGAACAGCGCGCGCGGAGCCGTTCGAATCCACGGGGGCAAAGCCGCGGCGGGCGAGGCGCCAGCGAGGGCGCGGCCACGAACGGCTTCTGGATAATGCACTCTGCCACGGGGGGGCCAGCGGCAACGGCCGACCCGGGCGCCCAAGGTCAGCGGGGCGGGGCGCCATTGGAGGCCATGGGAGGACACATGGGAAGCCATTGTAACCACGGGGTGCCCGGCAACGACGGCCGAACCCCAACCTAAGCGGTTGCTCGCAAGCGCCAAGCGCCCGCAGGCGGTAGCGCGCGGATGTCCTCAGGCGCGCGAGCGCGCTCAGAAACGCTGCCGGGAAGGCGCTCGCAAGAGCGCAGCGGCGCTCGCAAGCGCAGAGCACCGACTGGCATCGCTGGGCGGCCACGAGCGATCGCACACGCCTGGTGGAACGACAGCAGGCGCTGCCCGGCGCCTACAAGCGGACACCACAGCCTGCAGAAACGCGCGGGCGGCCACGGTCATCGCCGCCCGCTGCCCTCGTGGCCTGCATGCGCGCGCGCCGCCCGAGAGCGAAGCGCGACAGAGCCGACCCCGCGAGAATCCGCTATAATCTGCCGCGAACTCTGGTTAGAAACGCAGCTGAATCCACTGGAATCCGTGAAAAACCGCAAGAGTCCGCCAAGATCCTTTGCTGGAGCCCAACACAATCCATGAGAATCTGCGAGAATCCGGCAGAATCAGTGGGCGAGCATTCGAGCCGCCGGGGAAACCCCCAGAGACCTCAAGGACGTCCCAAATCACGCCAGGGAAACCTCCGGGGGGAGGGCCCTGGGGGGCCTCTGGACGGCGTCGTCGCTGCCGCTGCCGCCGTCGCCGGCGCCGTCGTCGTCGGTGGCTTCCACAGAAACCTCCCGAATCTCCCGGAAACCTCCATGGACCCCCCTTGGCCTCCGATGTTTTTAGCAAACATGCCAGGGAAACCTCGAAGGGAACCTCGGGAGGCCTGTGCGTCGTCGTCGCCGTCGCCGTCGCTCACGCCATCATCGTCGTCGTCGTCGGCGGCGTCGTTGTCGTTGGCGTCGTCGTAGTTCTAGCGCCGCGAACGACTGAGCCCCCCCCGGCGCGGGCGCGATCGTGGAGGGAACGTGCAGGCTCCTGTCCGAGAGTGCGCCGAGGGACGCGGGGCGCGTTCGGACCGGATCACATGCATGAAAGGCGCGCGCACTCGCGTGCGAGGCGCGCCATCGCGACTGAAACGCGCCAGGAAGTAAAACAGCTGAGCTTCAATGCCCGACTGTTGGGCCTCGCTTCCGCGGGCCTGCGCTTGCGAAGCGTAAATTTTGAGGGCCCGCATCTCCAACCCTCGGAGCCCAAAAGTCTCGACCCTCTCCCGAAGGCCGGCTTTTCAGCCTGAATCGTTGTTTGAATGTCCCGATTCATGTTTAAGCGCAGGCACGTCCGGGTCGTCACGACCAACGGGAGCACGAAACGCCGGGTAGGGCCGCACAGCACTGGCGCAGAGCGGCAGCGGTGCCGCGGGTCGTCGGGGCGGCGTGGAGTCGACCAGAGGTGCTGGGCTGGGCCGCGCAGCACCGGGCACCAGGCAGAGCGTGAGCGCCGGCGCGGGAGCACCCGCACCAGCGGCCAGGCACGGCATTGCGGCCCGAGGGGCGGAAGGGCAGCAAGCGTGCGAACGGAGGGAGGAAGTACGGGGGGAGAGAGGCGGCGGCCAGATGCCAGGCACTTGCCTGGTGACGACCGCCGAATTCCAGGGTGGCAAAGCGGCAAGGCAAACGGTGTGAGGATCCGGGGTGGCAGAAGAGCCCAGGGAAGTGGGTGCAGACGGATGCGATCTGAGAACAGGCAACAACGACGCATGGTCCAGGTACGGATGAGCAGCAAAAGAGCGAAGCGAGTCCAGGTGGGCCAGCGGACATGAGCCGGCAGGATCTGGGGAGACCGTAAGGCACCGATACCACTGCGTACTCACCGGACCTCTCCCAGGGTGCGTTCTAACCAAGATTTCGAAGCGAATCCGGGGGTGGCGACGAGGGCTTCCCAGGAGGCAGAAAAGGGCGGAAAAACAGGCGAAGGATAGAGGTATGGTTCACTTTTCTCCATCTTAGGATCGGCAGAGGGTGGCGCGAGTGCTGTGTGGCAGCAAGGCGTACGGAAGGGCGCACGGTGCGGCTGCGCCCAGCCGAGGCACGGCGCGGCAGCGCACCATACAAGACAGCACGACGCAAAACGCGGTACAGCGGGGCACGGCACCGCGCCACCGAGTCACTGAAAGCACACCGCAACGCACGGCACGTCACAACACAATACAGAAAGAGCAGGAAAGCCACCCTCATAGTAATCACCCCGACACGCGGAGCCGTTTAGCAAACGCACCCAAAGAAATAATCGAACAGGGCAGGGCTGTTTAGCAAACGCCCAGGGCCGTATAGTATACGCCAGGCATCGGGTCTGGTTGGATTTTCCTCCCTTGGATACAGCCCCACTGAATCACGAGATGAATCCACAGCACAGCACAATCAACCAACGCAACGCTGCACGACGCGGAACGGCACACGGCGCGGCACGACACGGCACCGCCCCACAGCCTTACGAGTTCAATATACGACACGACAGTCGGCGCTCGGCACAGATCCCACCGAGTCACGAGCTGCCCCTCACAATGTTCGAAGAAAGCTTAAAGAATCGCTCGAGGGATGACTCAAGGAGCCCCGATCCCCCTTTTCCGAACCCAAGGTGTGCCCTGTTCCAAAGGTTTGACTGTAGAAGTACTGCATGGTCACGTCGCGATGACGTCGGCGTTGGTTCCTGACACCACGTGGGCCGCTTGATCTTCGGCGATCGCGGCTTTCTGACAGCGCAGATCGCTCGATATCTGCCGATTCCTGGCAACCGGCGACGTTTAACTTTGAAAGCCTGTGATTGCGTCGGCCGCCGTCGCCGTCGTCGGGAGGTCAGCGGCGACGACAAGGGGCAGCATTCTATCCACAGAGCGGCTGCGCGGCCACCGCCGACGATGACACGGCGACGACAGCGACGCAGGATGTCCGTTATTTGGGGCGTACGCTAGGACTCATGCGGCGCTAAGACCCATTCCGGTTTCCCTAATTCATAGAGCGCATTGTTTGATTCGAGGCCACAGCGGGCGCTATGGAAGGGGATGGGGGAGAGGAGGACGAGAGGGGGCATAACGTATCGCATCCCCTCAAATTGTAATGCCGGACGCACTGTGGCAGTGCCGGGGACGCACTGAGGGGGGAAACTTTAATTACGTTATGGGGGGAGGAGGGGAGGCTAGGGGACATGCTGCGCGTTATGGCCCGGAGGGTCAAAAAAACAACAACAACAATCTCTCAGTAGGGTGAGAGACTCTAGTCCTCGTGATGAAATTCTGGGCTCGTTCGGGCCCCCACTCCTGCACCCCCCCGCCCCCCCCTCCACGAAGCGCCCAGGATCACTCCGCTGGACGGCCTCGCCTAGACACCTGCGGCCGCTCCCGCCGCGATCCGCCCCGAGGCGCCAGCCAGCTCTCTCCGGATGGCGGCCGCGGCGGTGGCCACGTCTTCCTGGGGCAGCGCGGGCAGAGACCGAGGGTCGGCGGCCGAGAGTTGAGGACCGAGGCTCCGCTGCCGAGGATGGAAAGGTAACCTCTTGGGCCGAAGGTCAGGAGCCGAGTGTCGAGGATCAACCGCTCTTGGCCTTCGCGTCGGGGGATGAGAAGGGGGCCATGAGGCGAGTCAGCGACTGACTTCGGAGGCAAAGAGGCATCCCGCTATAGACGATGCGGATGAGTGGCCAAGAGCCGACCCACCCTTATTGGAGCCCATCGCAAGGCGAGGTTCCACGCCTTCATGATCGGGCGTCGACATTCCAAAACCTTTTTGGCGTGGCGAGGTTGCAAAGGATCGCGGCCACGTCGAGGCTCGAAAATCGAAGCTCTTGCACAGGCGAAATGTTGCCGTTGGCCTCCAGAGGCCTCTGGGGATCATCGGAGGCGTCCGAAGGGCAAGGGGGGAGAGGGGTGGGGGAAGAGTTAGCAAAAACGGGGGGGGGGCAAGCCAGGTGCGCTCGCGCCATATCTGACACCTTACCCTTTCCATCAATCGTTCCCCATTGCGCTGATGTTTCTTCATGCGCCGGCGGTTTTTTAGCGGACCTGGGACCCTCCGAAAAAAGATTCGTCGTGTTATGCGCATGCTCAGAAACTTGTACATTGGAGGGGAAGGGGTGGATGAACATCAGGATGAACGAGATTAGGAGGATAAGATAACGCAGGATCGCTGGCTGAATAACAGCGGCATCAGGAGCAGGAGGTGTGGGAGGACCAAGAGGGACATCACATGGCGAAAGAGGGGAAACGGAACGGGGTCACAAGATGAAGGACTCGGGTCCACAAGTGTGGCCAACGGAAAGGCGGTAACGTTTTTGTGAAAAATACGAGAAATACGTCGATCCTGATACGAAACTAACGCTATAGCGGGAAGCTGCTTTGAAACACAAAAAACGCTCTGTTTCAAAAAGCCATCGTACCCATCACATGCTTAGTCGTATACGATTACGAACCATGTGCGAAAAAAACGTGGGCCCCGCTCGGACAAAATCCGGGGAGAGGGGTGAGTAGTACTCAGAGTGAGTAAGTGTCGAGGGGCGCGAAGGAGAAGGGGAGGATAGGGGGGGGGGCAAGGGGGAGGGAGAGAAGGAAACCTAACGGGGATGAGGGAAGGGGGGAAAAGGGGGAAAAGGGGGACGGAAGGTCGGAAGGAAAATGATTAGGAACGGGGGCTAGAATGTGAAACGATGCGCAAGATAACTATCCTCCCATCAGCAATGTAAAGCTGGAGGTGTAAGCAAATGTAGACCGGGCGCGGTGGGTGGCCACCTTGAGCCATCAACGCATCCTGGATGACCTGCTATGCTGCATGCTACAGGCCCCGACAATCGGCCGTCCGAGTCTGGTTCTCCAGCCACGACGGACAGGCCATAAACAATTGCGGCGACAAGCGCCGCACAATAGGGGTTCTACTAATCACCCCCCTCCTAAACAAAAATCAATGCCTGGGAACCGTGTTCTGGCCAGGCTCCTTATCCGCCACCGCGCCTCTGGGCACGGAATGGGCGCGTCCCCCAAGTCATTTGCCTAGTCCCCTGTGCCTCTGTCCTCGCTCCTGACGAGTCTTTCGGGGGCCTGGACTCCAAATTCGCCAGCCTTCTTGGGTTTCCCGCGCTTCCCCTGGGGTTGAAACCGCCTTGTCGCGTGACACGCTCGTGCCCGAGACGCCCCAAGGCGGGGCAAGAGGGCCCCGAGAAGCCCCCAAGACGGCCCAAAGAGACCCGGAGTCGCCAAACGATCACCCACGGGCGCTCAAGATGGCCCCTGGGCGGCGCAAAAGGCCTCCAAGACGGCCAAGGGGGCCCCGCGACAACCCCGGCCGGAGGCGCCCCAAGCGGCCCAAGAGGGCCTCAACACGGCCCCCAGAGGGCACCCCAAAAAGGGCACGAACAGAAAATCTCTGCCTTAATGGCCTCCCGCCCAAAGAGGTCACCAGGAGGCCCCAAGAGGCGCCGAGGATGCCCCGAACCCCGAAGAGGCCCCCACGAGGCCCCAAGAGGCCTCCAAGACGCCTGCAGAAACCCCCAAAGTCCCCCAAACGGCCCCCAAGAGGCGTTCGAAGTGCCTACAAAGAGGCACCCGAGAATCGTCCCACGAAGTTCCGGCGAACATCCAGTAGGTGGGATGCCCACAACCCACGCGCGGTCGCTGGATGGGCCGACAGCCACTAGATCTGCCGTCCTCTGCTGGCTTGCCACAGTGGTGCCCGGCGTGCTAGATGAGTACAATGCCCAACAGCAAATGCTGTCCCAAACCAACAACGGCCGCTGTTGGGCAGGCGGCCTTCTGTCTCGAATTGATACAGACCGCGGCGGCGTGGACAGCGAGTCCTGTTCAGAATGAACAAGAATTGCTGTTGGGCATTGTACCCATTATTTCTGTACCTATTTCGTGCGTGCAGACCCGAAGCTTCGGCCCGTCCCGCCGGCCACTCGAAAAAAAACCCAGCATTCCCCCACAAATTCCCCCCATGACGGCTCAAGATGATTTTCAGAACCGCCCTGATGGCCTAAGATGGCCTCCGGGATACTTCCAAAACGGCCAAGATGATCTCAACTTCGCCCAACATCGTCCACGGTGGCCTCCCAGTCGACCCAAGAGGGCCCAAGATGGCCCGAAGAGGCCAAAATCAGTGATTTCCCAGAAAAAGGTTTTTGAAGGAGTTCGGCGTTTGCTTCTTGGGTTTCCGACGGCTCAAGACGGCCCAAGAGGCCCCTAAGATCGCACCCGCAGCGCCCACGAGGCCTCCAAGATGGCCTCAAGACTGCCCGAGAGGCCCCCAAGACGGCCCCAAGAGGGCACAAAGACAACCCAAGAGGCCTCCAAGACGCCCAAGGTGGCCTCTAAGACGGCCCTGGAGCACCCCAAGTCGGCCCAGAAGGCCCCCCAAACGGCTTCCGACTGCGTCAGTCGGGCCAGGAGCCCACCAATGTGGCCGAAGTTGGATCGAAGCTGGCCCACGACGGCCCTAGCGGCTTCCAAGAGGGCCTCCAGGAAGGCCCGGGGAAAAAACCAAAGACACAGATTTGCCCTAGGTTGTTGAAGGATACTGATTCGCCGTAGGCGTCTTCGATAGAAAATTACAGTGACTAGGAGCCTTCTACTGACCTGGGTCCATATTAAGATTCGCGAAGGCAGCAAACGCTCGACAGCGCAAACAGACTGACAACTTACTTGCTGCCTCTCGAACGTAGGCAGATCGAGACGGCAAGCCCTCAATGGTACGTTGACTGCATCGCGTTCTCGAACGCACGTCGCGAGGTGCCACCCTGAAGCTGCAATCGCAAACGCAGTTCGGCAGCTGCAGCGGCAAGTGGCTTAGCTTGTGGTGTGGTCGATCTCCTCGTTCAGGTTGCTGTGCTCTGAGCTGGAAGCGGTATTATTGATTTGCTCCTTCAGTTTGGCGATGGTGTGCTCGTAACTGAAGTTGCCACCCATGATGTTGAAAATCAGTTCGCGGCCAAATGCTGCCCCTCGTCATGGGAACGGCGCGCATGTTTCTGATGTCGCACCACAAGATGTCGTCCAGTCTGCGCATTCCATTGCTACACATGCGATGCACGCCTTGATCTTCTGCGCGGCAAAACTACGGAGTCAAGCTGCACGGTGTGCCTGTTGGGCAGTTTGTTCTTGGCCCTCAGCAGACCGATCGCGCACGCTGCGACGTGGTGCTGCGCAACAGGCGCATGGAAAAGGACCTCCTGCCAGCTCGTCGGCCTTCGCCTTGACCAGGTCGACGTGCCTGATGGGGATCAACACGATGTGCTCGTCCATGTCGAGCGCCGCTGTGCCATCGGCACCGTGGTGTTGGAAGACGCCGCAATTGGTGAAGTCGTCGTGCAAACCCTCATATTGCCGAAGGCGCTCTCGGTGTGCCCGATCACCCGGTCTACGTGCTCCTTGCGTCTAGCGGTTCTCAAATCCCCGACGCGAGCGGACAACATGAGCACTATCTCCAGGCCGCCAACCCCATAAGTGCCGGACGCCTCGCGCTTGACCTCGAGTTCCTCGCCCCACCGCGTCGGCTGTGCGTTGCACTCGGGTGAGCGCGTGACCCTGGCGACGGTCATGGAGAAACGCTGGGCGCATCCTTGCAGCCCGTGCCTGGTTTGATGTTTCGAAGGCACCCGGTCCGCTCGTCGAAGGACTCGTAGCCTGGGGCCTGCCTGAGGATGGCAGCACTGCCAAGCGGCAGGGTGAAGACCACCTCTCTTGGTGCTCCATCCTGCTACTGCATCTCGGCATAGGCGGTGTAGGCCATGCCCCGCAAAGGCGTTTCCTTCACGTCCACGGCGACGTGCACCCAGACAGGGCGACAAGCCACGTTTGAAGACAGAATGCGCTGAGACGCCCGCTTCGCCGTACCGAACGTCCCCTCCGCCTCCCTCCCCACCTCCTCCCCCATGAGGACGAAGAGGGGCGGAGAGGGCGGGCGTAAGGCATCTGAGAATCTGTTTCCTCCAAAAATGAGCCCCTGGATTACCCTCAGGGTCCAGACGCGCGAGTCTCTCGGGCCGCAGACGAGAGGGGGCACACGAGGGCCAGAAAGCCTGGAACCTCGGTCCTGGAGGTCCTAGGTTCAAGCCTCTACATGGACATCGGACGCCGTTCGGGACGAATCCGGCAACCCCTGGAGCGCAGGATCTCATCCTTTCTCCTCGTCCTCTCCCCTGCCCACTTCTCCCCCTTCCTGTTTCCGTCTTCTCGCTCCTCGTCCCGGGGGGAGAACCTGCAGGGTCGGAAATATCCGAGCGGTATCTCGGGGGCCTTGTGGAACCGCCTTATTGGGGGCAATGTGACAACTTTTGGGGGGCATCTCGGGCACATTTTGGGGAGTTTGCTGGGGGGCTTTTGGAGCCTCTCGGAAACTGTTGGGGCCTCTTCTGGGGTCTTGGGGGGCCTCGTGGGAACTTTTCGTAGGCCTCTTGGGGGGCGCTTGGAGGCCTCTTGGGACCTCTTCGGGTCCTCTCGGGAGAATGTCCGAGATTATTGGGCATCTTGGGAGCTTGCTGGGGGGCGTCTCGGGGCCTCCAGGGGGGCTCTCGTGGGCGATCCTGAGGCCCTCAGCAGCCCAGCAGAGGCGAAAAGGCGCGAAGGCAAAAAACGTAGATTTCCCGTGGGTTGTCGCAAGTGTTTGGCTTCCCCGAGGCGTCCTGAAGGGTCTCCCGGGGCCCCGTGCGGCTGCCTTGAGGCTCTCTCTTCGGTCGCCTGAAATCGGCTGCACGCAAGAGTGGCCCGTCGCTTGGGTGCTGTCGTGCGGGTGCTAATGGGAGGTGACCCAAATGGGTGGTGAAGAAAAGGGCCCTAAACGGGGCCCTGTAGTATCCCTTTTGGGCACTTGCTGGCTCCAAATGGGGCCCTGGCGGGCACCTTAGGGGCTCTTTTCTTCACCCCCATTTTGGTCGGGTCATTGTTCTTTGGGGCTGAGCTCGACCTCGAGTCGGCGCACGCAGCGTGGGGTTACGCTCGCATCTGAGCGCGCCAAGTTTTGGCCCCCCTCGCAAACGAGCACAACGAATCAGCGGCGCATCCTAGAGCGCGCGTTCGCTTCCTGAGGGGGCTGGGCGGCGCGCTTTCCTTCCCCAGACTGGTTTCCAAATCGAGCCCACATCCCAAATCCCAACTCGCCTGATCAACTTTGATGTGTTTGCATAGACAAAATTTGCATCACAATCCAAACTACTGAAATTTCTTACGACTCAATGGTATACCATATGGATCCAGCTTATTCTGGGGCCCCACAGGGGGGCTAGTTTTGGCGACGACGCCAGACCTGGTCAGACGTCGTCGCGATTCGGCCTGGCAGTGCAGGACTTCATAGTTGTCGCCCCCGGCAGCATCTGCTTTCGCAGCGCCTTCGGGCCGCCATTCAGGGCGCCCGGTTCGAACTGGCGGAATTCCGCTTCTGCCCGCTGGCGCTAAGCATCTGTCGAGGCGCGTTCCGTAGTGACGGCAGCGGCTTGCGCGGTTGCGCGTTTGCGGTTGCGCCCAAGGGCACCCCAGAAGCCGCGTACCAAAAGTCACCCTGGTCGTGGGTCACTCTTACGCGCAGCCGCAAAAGTCATTCGAAACCGACTTGGGGGTTGACTCGGGGCCACCTTGGGCCGTCTTGGCGGCTGTCTGATCACCCTCCCGTGCGATGCTGGGCCCCCAAAAAGCGCGCCCGGCCCCCGGCACCCACTTTCGTGGTCGAGTCAAGGTTCTGGCCCTGGACCCCCCGGGCCCAGTCCCCTGTCGGCTAAGCTGTGCAATGTGAGCTGGAGGTGAAAGCTATGGAATGCAAGCCATCACGCAAGCGCAAGCTATGCGGTGTAAGCCAGAACGTAACCGCAACTCGGAAGCGTAAGATTTATGGTGCAAGCTCTGTCGCGCAAGGTCAGAACACGGGGCGCCCACGAGGCGCGTACGGCATGGCACACGCGGCAACGAGGCGCGGCCTCAGGAAACCCACCCAGCGCCCGTGGAGCAACGTGGTGCAGCCTCGGGGAACGCATCTAACGCACGGCGCCCACGAGGCGCCCATAACGCGGCACGGGCGGAAACGCAACGCAACCTCGGCGAACCCACCAAAGCACTTCGCACAACGAATAGGCACCCCTGAATGCAACCACTGTTTGGGGGATGTACGGAAATTCCCAGATAAATTGCACGTCGCGTGGCCTCTCGAGGTGTGCTCCACCATGTCCAGCGAGGGGCGGAGAATAGCAGACGAGGCGGTTCGTTGGAGGAACTCGAGGCCCAGGACCAACTGGAGCGGTTCGTCGCGAGGTGGGGCTACCCGGAGAAGCGTGCACGGGCCATGAGTGGAGGAAGAAACAACTGCATTACGCATAAAAATAAACTGTGAAGTCCGCTCGGATATCTTGGAACCGCGCCGCACCGCTTCCTTGGCGCGCGGAGCGCGCCGTGGGCGGCGCCGGAGGCGCCGCCAGGGGGGCCCAACCGCCGACCCCAGAAATCCACGCGGAGCTCCAACAGTTCACGGTTATGCTGTTTCTTCGTCTTCGAAGGACGGCTAGGATGGGCCAATACTATGTGAAGTACCCAACCCATGTGCACCCAGTTGCCCGATGAATCGGCAAGTATGAATGTGAACAACGACAGCGCGAGCGCGATGCTTGCATGTGCACACTACATGGGACGCGCATATCGTCCCCGACTCACAAAACAACGATCAAATGGACGAGGATTCTGGACCTTGGCTCGAAAAAGAACGGGGGCGAGAACGAGGGGCAGGGGAATGATAAGGAAGGGGGGGGTCGGGCGAGGAACCAGCGCAAAACGCAGCAACAGGGAGGTTACAGGGGGAAGAGGACGACGACGAAAGAGGTGTGGCGAAGCAAAGGCCACGTTGTTTCTAGTAGCGCGCTGGAAGCGCAGCGCTGTCTGCGTCATGTGTATAGCTAGTGCAGGAAACGAGCGAGGCCTAGCTCGCCCGCTGGCTTCTCCGCCCCCCTCCTGCACATTGCAGTGCGAGAGTTAAACGCCCGCAGGCGCGCCGACAAATTCTGCGGGCGGCCCGCGGGAAAGGAACACAAGATCGGGCTGGCGCACCATCAATACGTTGCCCACCGTCGTCGCCCTGGACAGCATCACGCAACGATGTCGCCAGAGCGCGTCCTTGTCCTCTGCAGGCCGTTTCGCAAATCGGAGCCCCCCCAGAGATGGCGAGGTCTAATCTGAGTTTGCGGCGGGTACCCACTATGTTGGTCCCCCCAGCAGCCCTCGAAAGAGGCAACAGTTTCGCAGATCGCAGACCCCCAGGGATGACGAGGTCCAATCTGAGTCTGCGGCGGGTACCCACTATGCTGGTCCCGCCAGCAGCCACCGAAAATGGCGACAGTTTCGCAGACCGCAGCCCCCCAAGGTTGGCGAGGTCTAATCCGAGTCTGCGGGGGAGAACCCACTATGTTGGTCCCCCCTGCAGCCCTCGAAAGCGGCAACGGCTTCGCAGACCGCAGCCCCCCAGAGATGGCGAGGTCTAATATGAGTCTGCGGCAGGTGCCCACTATGCTGGTCCCCGCAGCAGCCCCCCAGCAGCCCTCGAAAGTGGCGACAGTTTCGCAGATCGCAGACCCCCACGGATGGCGAGGTCAAAGAGTCTGCGGCGGGTACCCCCCCCAGCAGCCCTCGAAAGTGGTGAGAGTTTCGCAGATCGAAGCTCCCAAGGCATGCCAGCTTCACGCTTCGCAGGCACCACAAGCAAGCCACCAGGCGCACAGGAGCGGAGAGGAGAAGGGAGGCGGGGAGGAGGAGGAAGGACGGAGACCGCAAGGCCACGTCCAAAACGAGAACCCAACGCAGGAGGATTGGGAATGAGCGCGGTCGAGGCTGCTGAAAGGACCGACCGTCCGGCCCAGCACTCCTGTAGGCCTACCACGGAATATGCTCAGGAACAAGAAATGTTATGAGGACATGTCGTGCAAACCGAAAACTCGCCATCGCTCGGATGTTCTTTCCCCGTGCATGTTTCGATTCCGTGCGTGTAGTTTTCGCTCGATGCTCCAAGATGTTCCTCGCTAAAAGAAAGATGTAAACGTCCGAGCGATGCCAAGAAAACAAGTTCTTGAAACATTATGTTTGGTGGGCCCCTATAGGCAGGCCAAAAAGCTTCGACACCGCTTGCGCTGGAGGACTCTCGAGCGATGGTGTAACGCCCGCCCGCCGGCCGCGCGGAGCGCGCGCCTCCTCGATGAACCGGCGCACCTGGAGGGCCCGCGGGCGGCGGCGCTCCAGGCGGGCCCCGCCGCAGCCGGTCGCCCCGCCCGTCCACCGCGCGCGACGAAGCACGGAGGCCGCCTCCGCCGCCGCCCTCTCAACCGCGGCCGCCGCGGCCGTGGCCACCGTCGTCGCCCTCGCGGTCGCCGTGACCGCCGCGCGGCCAACGCCGCCGCCGCCGTCCTCAGACGCGCGCCTCCTGCGCCGCCTCCTCCTCCTCCGCCTCCTCCTAGTGTCTTCAGCCGCCGGCTCGCCGCCGTCGCCGACGCCGACGCCGACGCCGTCCTCCTCCTCCTCCTCCTCCTCCTCCTCCTCCTCCTTTCCACCTCTTCCTCCTCCTCCTCCTCCTCCTCCGCCTCCCCCTATATTATTCCTCGTCGTCCTCCTTCGCCTCCTGCTCCTCCTCGTCCTCTCCCTCCTCATGGGCTGAGGCTGACGGGTAACGTCGTGATCCCACCAACCCTCCTGGCGGAAGTGGTGTAACGGTTCGTCTTCCCTCTTCCAAGGCCCTTTCTTCCCTATTCGAGGAGGGGGTTGCCCCTCTCCATAACCCTTCTCCCTGGGTCTGAACGGGGGTGGGGGGTGGGCGGGAGGGGTCAGAACGACCACGATGGTCCAAGACAAGTTCCAAAATTATCCCCGATGCGCCAAGATGACCTCCAAGACAACGCAAGATAACCGAAAATGGTGCAGGATAGCCTCCGACATACCTCCGAAGGCATCGAGACGGCCCCAATACGGCTCCGAGTGCCCTCTGAGCCCTTCCAGGACCCCCACCAAGTGGCCAGAATCGCTCCAAACCCTATGGAACATCCGTCGACGCTGGGGGGTGGAATGGCGCGTGAAACATGTGGCTGTCCCCCTCCCCCGGTTCCCCATCCCCTGGGGTGCAACCTCCCTTTAACCAAAACAAGGGGAAAGGGTTGGGCGACGAGCTCACTGGCGCACCTCCCGAGCACTCGGAACCTCCAAACCCATGCTCCGCGTCTCCAAGATGCCCAAGATGCCCTCCTAGACTGCTCTAGAAGGGCTCTGACGCGCCGGGGACCTCCAGAACGTGCAAGATGGCCTCAAGGTGGCCCGGGAGGCCCGGAAGACGCCAGAAGAAGAGGCCCAAAAGAGGACTCACAAGGCGGACTCAAAAGGCAAAAACCTGCGTGTTGTCTATGTTATGCGTTTGAACGCTGTCTGCGCGCTCGCCAATTCAAGGTCTTGAGAGCCCGAGACGGCCTGAAAAGCCCCTACGCCCCCCAGGCCGAACCAGGGCAGTCACCCTCAAGAGGGCCCGGAGGTGGCCCAAGAGGGCCCCAAAACTGCTCAAGAGTCCCCCAAGATGGCCAAAAAGGCTTCGAAGAGGGTAAGAGAGGCCCATAGGGGAGAACTCGTTGGGGCCCAAGGAGACCTCCCCCACAAAATGGCCCCAGGACGACCCACATGGCCCCAAGAGATCCCAGAAAGCCCCCAGAGAGCTCCCAGGAGCAACGAAAAGGCTCCGAGGAGGCCGCCCCCGAGGCCTCCAAGAGGCCCTCGAGAAACCCCGCCACAAACGCGGAGGGAGAGAAGGACCAACAAGCAACACACACTCGCAGGCAGCACGACGGGGAAAGCGAACAACACGTGCGAACTCGGAAGCCGATCCTCTTCTGGGGTCGGCGGAATGGCGTAAGCCAAGCCTCTTGAAGCAATGATGGTTGCCCTCTCGCCTTTTGGTTTCCTAGGGACCTCTGCTGCCTCACGATGGCTCCAAGATGGACCACGAGAGCGGCCCTAAGAGCACCCAAGGGCGCTCCAAGGAAGGGCCCAAGAGGCAATTGTTCAACCACCGAGGGCGTGGGGAGGGCGAAAGAAGGAGCCCCCTCCCTGTTGGGCCATGGGGCCCAAGATCGCCAAGGGGGCCCAAATTCCTCCCAAAGAGCCCATAGGGGGCCCCACGATCTCTCAAACAAGTCTCAACAGGGCACCAAAAGGGCCCCGACAAGCTCCAAGGAGACCGTTAGAGGGGGACTCCAATTGGCCCCCTAGATGCTATCACAGCTTCAGATCAGCGAAGGATTGTTCCTCCCCCTTGTTCACGTCCTCATGTTTTCCCCACGGCAGCAGCGCAGGTGCAACAGCGCAGGGCTCCTTAAACGTGACCCGGGGCGTAAAACTCACCCCAACCCTCGGCGACGGCCGAGCGTCTCAGCTCTCTAAGCGAACCTACAGCACAGGTGCGCTGCCTGCTATATTTGTATGAAATCCTTAAAGTATGGAAGAAGAACAACTGCAATGCGACGGCCCCGCTGCCGAAGCCAAGACGTGAGTTTATGTACCCCAAGGCCGAACCAGCCGCAGCTTATAAACCCAATATGACTTGACTCGACCTAATGTGGCGAGCACTGGGGCCACCAACGCACTGAGACATAATCGGGCGCAGCTGCGCAGCAGGAGGAGGAGGACGAGGAGGACAAGCCGGCGCACAAAAACAGCAACGCACCCGCCCTCGCCGACTGCCGGACACAACTCCGCGGCATCATGGGGCGAGCCAGGGCAAGAGCAAGCAGGCGACAAAGCGGCCCCTCGCTGTCCGAAGCATGTGGGCCTTAGCTGTCCAAGAGGACGAAGGGGGAGGAGGGGGGAGAAGAGAGAAAGACAAAACAAATCGCGCGTGTGTAAACATGATGCCGCCAGCCGGTGGTCGCACAAAGATCCCACGCGAACTACATACTCAAAGACCCGATGCAGCTGACGAATCGTATAAGTAGGGCGTACGCGACGACACCGCACCGAATCCTACCACGTAGGGGCGGGAACGGTTGGGCGCGCACACCTGTGGTGCCGGCGGCCATCTATCGACAAAAAGTAAGGGAGAGGCGCGAGGCTAGGAGGGAAGAGAAAGAGGCCAAGGACGCGGCGAGGAGCGCTGGCCGCCTATGGAGCTCAACGCCTGGCCTCTAGCCTCATTCCGACATGTGGACGTAGGTGTATTCGCATATGCACTTCGTAGATGCACTCGTAGATGGCGACGTGGTCAACGCGGAAGTCGGTGCGCTGGGCGGAGCGGGAGTCGGGAAGCGCTTGGTCCAGACCTCCCGGGGACGGGGTCGGTGAGCTGGTCGATGCGGGAGTCGGTGTGCTGGTCGGAGCGGGAGTCGGGAAGCGCTCTGAGCTGGTCGATGCGGGAGTCGGTGTGCAGGTCGGAGCGGGAGTCGGGAAGAGCTTGGTCCAGACCTCCCGGGGACGGGGTCGGTGAGCTGGTCGATGCGGGAGCTGGTGTGCTGGTCGGAGCGGGAGTCGGGAAGCGCTTGGTCCAGACCTCCCGGGGATGGGGTCTCTGAACCGGTCGATGCGGGAGTCGGTGTGCTGGTCGGAGCGGGAGTCGGGAAGCGCTTGGCGGTGCTGGCGACGATGCTGGCGTAGGCGCGGGCGTCCGTGTCGGGGTCGGCGCCGACGTCGGTGTCGGCGTCGGTAATGGCGACGGTACTGGCGGAAGCGCTGGCGTCGGTGCCGGCGTCGGTGCCGACGTCGGCGTCGGCGTCGTTGCTGGCGTCGGTGCCTGCGTAGGCGCGGCGTACGTGCCAGGGTCGGTGCCGACGTCGGTGTCGGCTGCGGTGGCGGCGACAGTGTTGGCGAAGGCACTGGCGTCGGTGTCGACGTCGGTGACGGCTGCGGGGCGGGCGACGTTGCTGGTGTTGGACTAGGAATCGGCGCTTGCTTCGCACTGTGAGTCTGCGTAGGCGTCGGCACACAAGGAAGGAGGAGGGAGGGGAAACAGGGACCATAACGCCAAGTCGTGGTGATGGGAGGTGCTGTCGGCGACGCCTGTGCGTCATATGTGCAGCGGTATCGGTGGTAGCGTCGTATCCCGTCGTCCCGGAGTCCATCGGTTGTCGAGGGCCCTTGATGCCTTCTGGTGGTTCTTGGCCCCTTCCCGCATCCATTGTGCGACCGCGTCAAGGACGTCGGATTCTTCTGCAGCGGGGTTGCGCCTGAAGTGGTTCGTGGCGAGTTCTTCCTGTGTCCGGATGCGAGAGTTGCAGAGCAGAAACGTGTGGAGGTTCGCGAACAGATCCGGGGCCATGTTCAGCTTGCGTGCCAAGATATTCTGTGTCACTGGGCATCTGCAATAATGCTCGATCGAATCGTCTGCTCCTGGGCACCCCAAAATGCAGCGGTTGCCCGGCAGGTGCCGCTGCTGGTATCTCCGGCTCGTGTACCATCTGTTCCACATCGTTCCGAACGCTGCTGCGCAGACGCGTGGTGGTACCAGTGTAACCAGCAGCTGCAGACTGGCAACAGCGCGACGCGCTTGCCACGCAGGCGTGGAGTGCAGGACTGGAGTGCCCGTCGGCAGCGGGTGCTTCGCGTGGTCATGAAGTTCCCACCTCTTGAACTTAGCTCGGGTGCGAAAAACAGGATGCGGGGGATCGCGCGTGAGTCGTAATTGGTGTGCCCGTCGTTGGAAACAGGTCTTGGGCTCCTGGAGTTGCCAAATTCTCACTGAACCCATTATCGTCCTCATTATCGTTTTCCTCCTCATCCTCCTCGTCCTCCTCCTCCTCCTCCTTTTCCTCCTCCTCCTCCTCTCCCTCCTTCTCCTCCTCCTCCTCCTCCTCCTGTTCCTCACCCTCCTCCTCCCCTCCCTCCCTCCCAAGATGGCTCCAGGAGGCATCTACGAGGCTCCTCAGACAACTCGCCAGGGCATTGAATCTAGGTAAGATGCATGCTCTGATGCACGGGCTCTGCCGTCGTCGGTAAGATGCGATCTTCCACACAGCCTTCTGGGCGGCTACTGTACGAGAGGCTCTTACACTTCGTTGCTCCGAGACACACGCCTGGGCATCGCTTCCAAATGGGCTTGTGGAGATCCCGGAAGCGTCAAGAATCGCTTCGACTTCGATCGGGCTCTCCCTGCCATCCCCAAGGACATCACATGAGATCGATAAGGTCGTCCCTATGTTCTCAGTCGTTGCGAAGCCGAAATACTGGCTAGACAAAAGGGGGGCGCT